CATTTGTATGTAAATTTAAGAAACATTAATATAGAATATATTATTGTGTAGTTTATATAAGGTATACGTTAAGACACTTACCATCTACTGCAAAAATTCAACAATTAAAAGATTGTAACAATTAGTTCGCATATTTTCGTACGAGACAGATGTGCTCGATCGATATACTAATTTCTGTTTCTACATACCATTTCGAAAACACTTTAATTATATTATTGTATTGTAATTATCCAATTAATTGTAATATCGGAATCATTCGAACGAAAAAAAATATATGATCAAGCAGATTTGACTCGTTTGCACTCTCTAATATTTCGATTCTTTTGGAACTATTTAACACATTAAATCCATATTATCGTCCCATTATTCAGTATCTTTATTTCTTTTTTTGGCACGCATTTCATTTTTTTTTTTTTTTTTATTGAATTTTCTTTTATTTTAATTTTTATTTCTTTACTATTGGCACAACATTTATGAACAATGAGCTAGAATTAATTAATTAGCATAAATCTCGGACACACCTGAGATCGATCGTTCAGACGATATTATATATAATATAATAAAAAGACTTTTGCTATCGCGTGTGTACATCGTATACTTAACTACAGAATGCCAATGAATCGTGTTACATGTTCGGCTCGAAGAGATTCTACGCCCGTTTCACGAAAGGCAATCCGTTTACAAAGCGATAAAGTGACCCCCATATAATTATTATATTTGTTCTGCCGTTTTTTTCTTCTCGCCTTTTCAAAATTAATCTACGTCCGAGACGTTTTCAAGGATCATGCTAATTATTTTATACCAGTTTCTTAATTTTTTTCAAGCTACAATTCCTTTTTTATATTAACTTATGTTCTTAATGGATTTAGATTAAATTCATTAAAAATATAAGTTATTATAAAAATATCCATTATAAAATGGATTTAATTTAATTAAATTAAAAAAAATGTATTTAAAACAAACTTTTTAGAATTTTAATTTACAGAATTTTTTAAAATTTTAATTATAATTCATTATGATAAATAATTAGCATAATGTAATAAATATTTAATATTTTTTAAATATTTGCAACAATTATAATATTGTATTATAATATTGTAATAGGTAGTGTTATATAAGAATATTTGAAATTAAAAATCTCTTAAAGATCTCTCGCAAAAGTAATTTTCAGTTTATTATTTTGTTGCGATCTGTATAAGTTGAGATTTTATATAATATTTATGCAAATAAAAGGAAAGAATCGTATCATATTGTTCGTTCTCGCGACATACCTTAAAAACTATTAAATTATTCTAAATATGACCGTAAAACGATCCACTTCTAGAATGGAATAATTAATCGAGTGATTATCAAAAATAGAATTATTATTACAAATTTAATACGCAATGTACCGATATACCAACGATCAACAATTTTGTCGCTCCGCAATGAATCCATTGGGGAAACATAATCGCGGTACAACTATTTTACCAAAAATACTATTATCGCATATAATGTAGAATATATTGCATTCGTATAAATGCAGGAAAGTTCGAAAAAAAAACGAAAGAGACAACGATCTTTCCTCAGTTTTTCGATTCCCTTTCTTTTTTATTTCGTAGAATTTTAGTAAAAATCCTTGTTAAACACGTATATGCAAAATTATGAATTATAAAAGATATCGCAGTCATCATGCACATCATAAATATATCTCACAAATATACGTATAAAGTATTATTTCAAATATATCTCAAAAAAAAATATTCTATACTGTACAATTAACTAACTACATAATGAGGGGCGAAGAAAATGTATATGCATAATTTTATAATAATAATATTATTAATTGTTCTTTCAATGATTTATCGAATGTGTGTATCGTTTTCAATTTAAAAATTATTTATTAGATATAAAAATTTTAATTATATAAAAATTTCTATTATAATAATTTATTATAATTAAAAAACTGTAATAAATTCCATAAAAAAATTATTTACAATTTATATAGAAGATTATTAATTAAAATATAGAAGATATTTCAAATTTGTAATAAAATATTATAATTATAAATTATAATATATAAATATAAAATACATGAATGTAAAAGATAAGATTAAAAAGCTATAACAAATTATATATATATATATATACATTATATTATAATAATATATACAATATATAAAAATAAAATTTTTTTAGATTACTATAGTTTCTTTATGAAAAAAGAAAATTTTATCTTTTTAAATTAGATAAAATTTTAATATTTTAATATTTATTTTAATATTTATTATAGTTAATATAGTTTAATGAAATAAATTCTTAATATAAAATTATAAAACATAAAACGATCAATTTCTTAAAATTTATAATTCCTGAGATATTTAATTTTGTACATTATAATTTATAATAATTTATAATAAATTATAATTTATTATTATAAATCATATTTGATTATATATGTGCAATTAAATTGTAAATATTGTATATCGAAATTTTATTAAAAACAATATCAATTATTTATATTAATAATTCAATAATTAAAGACTTTAATATCTTTAATTTAATAAAATAATTTGATATTAATATTTATCAAGTATTTATTAATTTTCTTACTTAAAAATTATAATATTTTTAATAAATATTTTTTATAAAAATAATTAAATATGCATGTAACAAATAATCTTTTTTCATTTCTAATAAATATATAATAATATCTAATAAATAATAAATATCTAATAATAATAAATCAAATTAAACATCTTGAATATGTATTGAAAATTTCAAATATAATTAAAGTAGTTAGATTAATTAAATTTAAATTAATATAATAAATTAATATAGTAAATGCTACAATTTACTAACAATAAATAAAATAAACAATAAATGAAAAAATCATTTGAAATAATAATTGTTTAAAATTATCAAACATTTAAAATTGTAAAAAATTAAAATTATTTAATGTTCATTTCTTTCATCAGTTTGATCAATCATAATTAATTTTTCTCCGCCCTAATTATTTATTCATATTTTTTCATATTTCCTTATTTATTAAATGCAATATATGGCCGTCTCGGACGAGAAAAAACATAGTTGACTAATTGTAGCCATAACGTTATATCAAAGAGCATACATAGATACTCTTTCTGTGTCTTGTTATTTTCTCCCCATAAAAACTTTTATCGACTAGAACATAATTATGATACATTAAAAATTGACACATATTTATGTTATATGTATATTGGGCTTCGCCTTATCGCCTCCTTCTTCCTTTTATTTCTTTTTTTTTCTATCTTTCTTGCAAAAAATGTTTGAAACTCATAATCGAATCATTTTTTTTTTGGGGACGGTCTTTGATTCTAAAAAGAGAAAAAACTTGTCATATTTTAATAATAATTTCTATAGATGTCAAATGAGGACAGAGTAAAATCAAGTGTTTTTAAAGAGACATTAACAAATTTACTTAAAAACAACAATTATTTAATAATTCATATTTTAAACTACTATAACTTTTATTGATTTGAAGATATTTGAAACACATAAGAAAATTGTTTGCGTATTGTAAAATGTGTTGGAAAATCCTACACTCGATGTTTAATGCACACTTTTACAATTTCATAGCTATTTTATTAACAGGCGAGAAAAAATTGTGAATAACATATTTTTCTTCTTTTTTTTTTTTTATTATATGTTTTACTTTATTTATGTTATTAAGCGAACATATATTTCTATTATATCATTGACTGATAATAAAAGAACTTTTACATTACAATTGTCTTGTTATCTTCATGAAAATTCGATAAAATTTTTCATGATTACTCTTTCCTCAATTAACGAACACATCATATTACATGCTATTTTATAGCAACATATTGTTTTGATTCTGGTTAACTCCATAAGAAACTTTATAATTTACTCCATATTCGCATTACATACTATATAAATAATAATAATAACATTAATAATAATAATAATGTATATCATTATCCAATAAGGTATCATTAGTATATAATCATATGCATAAATAATAATAATAATTATAATAATAATAATTATAGCTGAAGCTTAAATATGAAAGAACGCGATGATAAAATTATTTTTGCAAAATAGCACCTTTTCCAGATACCAGATATCTCATGCTACATAATTATTTAATTTAGACTTATATGTATACATATATATTATTAATACACTTAATTTCTTTAAATGTAAAAAATGAAATTGATCAATTTATATATAAAAATTCTTTTGTTAAAATTATATATGTTTTTTATAATTTTATGGAATAATAATAGATTAATCGATTTTGTAGCATGAGAAATTCTTGACCATTGGATAGCAGTCTTAATAATTGCAAATTTTATATTTAAATCACGGTTTAAAGTGAAGATAAAGGACGAATTTCACATATCGTGAAAATATTTATTTTCAGTCTTTTTCTATAATCCAGTCTACAATTCTAGCACCATTATGCAGCTTTAATTTTTGTTGATCGCTATTTGTCGATCAACTAAGAGATTTCGATAATTAAATTGGCTAATGATAAAATCACGTTAGAATTCCAAGATTAAATTGAATTATCGACACATGCAATTCTCTACATAATTTTTATTTATTAAAGACGAAGTTATATTAGCCAGAAGTTGCGCTAATGTAATTGTATATTAGGCTTTAAATCTTTATTTTATATTCATATATTTCATATTGTAATCTATTATTAAAATCGTATATATATTTTATATAATCAAGTTAAAAAGTTGGATTATAATTCTCTTCAAGAAGTTAAGATTGATTTTTAAAAAATTTTTTCAAAACTATTATTCTTTAAACTCCATATATTTACAACTTCTGACTATTTTCATCGTCACTAATCTCGCGCGAAATCTACAATTTTATATTTTAATTTTTTCTAACATATTCTATAATCGAACTTATAACATAATTATTTTCTTTAAATTATTTATTTAAATTGAATCTAAATCAAATTAAACTATCATTTTGAAAAATTATGTACTTATTTTATTTTGATTGAAATAATCAAATAAGAAATAACTAATATTGATTTTTCTACAAATTTTTATTTCAAGATTAATTTAGATCATTTGATCAATTTTTAAAAGAATCGATTCACAATTCTCAAAAAAGCTCGAATAGTGACGATATGATCTTCGCTGCCAATGTAAAATCGATTTTATTATCTCTAAGTCATTATATATTGACTAAGTCATTATATATTGACAAAGTTAAGGACATATAAAGCGACGACGAACCGCTTAATTTTTCGGTCCCCAATCAAATTTCGAAATTTCAATTATTTTCATGTCTTGTATTGTATTTTTTTATTAATTCATCGACTCCGAATTGGATGAAGGCGAAGATTCCGGGCTCTGCATCAGAGATATATCTTTTTCAATCGTAGGTGTAAGCAACATACCACGTGGACTAAATGTATCGCAATACAGATTCTCTTTTTTATGGACTCTTCTTACATGGCTACGTAAATTATCACGACGTGCACTTCTGTATGCACAATGTGGACATAGATGTGGTTTCTCGCCTGTATGCATTCGCCGGTGTTGAATGAGCTAATGAAATACAAGAAATCATTATTTTACATACATACATACATATTGTATGTGTATATTTGAAATTTTCATCATATATATCATTTAAACAAATCTATATCAATTTAAATATATTTTTACATTCTTTTGGATTATATATATATATATATACATGAAGAAAGATAATAGATTGAACAGATATGAATAATTATGAGTATAACATATTAATTCACTAATGTAATATCACTAATATAATTTAGAAGAAATAAAAATATATTAAGATGATATAAATCATGAAAATTTCAAAATTATATCCTAATATTAATATTATAATATTTAATATTTTTAAATATTATTAATATTAATTTTATAAAATAGTTAAAATATTTTAGAGATTTAAAAACAATAAATAGAAAATTTATATAATTTTGGTATGTAAATATGATCATTTACAATTAAAGAAAAATTTTATATGGATGTTTATAACTGAAAATATTCTTCAAGTCAAAATAAGATAAAATCAAAAATAAAAATATTGCATTTACGATTTTATTTTTTAATTATAAATGATAAAAAATTAAAATCTATCTCACACATAAATTTTGAATTTTCTTACAAAAAGAAACATAAATCAGATTAAACAACACATGTATAGTGACTCAAAATATTTTTCTAAAGTTTAGTTTTAAATATTTTACTTTTTATTTTATTTCTATGACTACTTATATTGATATATTGCTCTGTGTTATTGAGTTGAAGATCATTATATTCTCTATTACATGAGTTACATTCATTTATATAGTTCATAAATTTTAAAAAATAAGATCGAAAACAATTTTTTTTTATTCTTGATTTTTGTTTTATTTTGATTTAAAGAATTATATTTTGTATTTTTGAACATTTATAATTGAATTTTATATATGAAATTATAATAAATTATAAATATTTTTTAAATATATTTATATTATGATAAATGTCATACTGATGAATTATTTATTTAATTTCTTTATGTATTATTTTTGATTTATATTCACAATAAGCCTAACATTTTTAAATTTAATTGCAATCCAATCTTGTTCGTTGAAATTTTTTTCATCATAATATAATTACAATCCAATCTTGTTCGAAACTAAATCTATTGTGTAAATAGCATATTATTTTTGATTACGTTATATCGGATTATATCGTTGACGTGTATGTATTATCATTTATATCATATGTTTATATCATATATTTATACATATAGAATTTTTTATTTCTAAGTAGAAATATTTCAATCATATTTTATGAAATTTCAAAGAATTTACGATTAGAGATTTTACGTAGAGATTATACGAGCTTTTCGAAATTGAATTCGAAACAATCGAAGTTCATTGATTTCAATTGCTTTCGTAGCTTTGGAATTCTATGCATCAATATTTCCAATAACAAAGTTTTTGTGTCAAAAGAAAAAAAATATTACCTTTTTTAATTGTACTGTGCGAAAAATGCAAATGTCACAGCAAAAGTATCGGTCGTCACGATGTCTTCTCATATGTCTACTCAGATCGACTTCCGATGATCTATCCGCCCCACAAACAGCACAACTCACTCTCGTTTCCGGCGCTATACCATTTGCGTGGGCTCTCAAATGCCTCTGAAATGCCTTTTCGATAGTGCAGGCATATGAGCATAACGAGCATCTGTATTCTTCCCTTTCATACCTATGTATGGATTGATATAATAAGTCAGAACTTCTTAATTTAATTTAAAAATAACATTAATATTATTAATTGAAGTTTTAATAGTTTTTTTTTTAAATAAATTTCATCTAAATTTTAAACTAAATTTCTTTTTATAAATATAAAAAATTTAAATTTTTTAAATAAAATTTATATAAAATATAATTTACACTAAAAAATTTTTTGGTAAAAATATTTAAGTAAATTCAATTTTTTAAATAAAAATATTATTTTAACGAGATGCAGAATGCAAATTTAAAAATTAATCATGATTTATATCATGATTTATTAAAAAAAAAAATAAATAAAATTATAAAAAGTTTTTTTTTCGTATGTTATTTTACATAATTAGAGATCTTTTTTAGCTTTAAAAAGTAGAGATTATTATAAAATAAAAAGAATAATATTATAAAGTTATATTAAATATTTAATTTATATAATATAATAATATATAGTATAATAATAATATATTTTAAAATATTAATTAATAATTTTCTAATTAGCAGATAATAGCACTTAATACTTCTTTTCTATAAATCATTTAATATATTTAAAAATTTTCTTAACTTTAAAATTTTTTTTACATTATAATTTAAAAACTAACTAAAGTTATTACAATGTATACAAAGAAGAAGATATATAATATTACAAAATTGTATTAAATGTTTAGTTTTTAAATGCAATAAATATTACTATTATTAGAGATTTATTATTTAATTATTTATTTTGATTAATTATTTATTTAATAAATTATTTTGATTTAATTATTGATCATAAACATGATTGCAATTATATTTTATCACTCTCTTGTTTTATTTTATATTTGAAGATTGTTATTAATGAAGATTCTCATATTTCATTTGTATTCATTCTTTCATATTGTTAAATATTTAAATATTTTAATAAATTTTTGTCAAATATATTTCAAGATATTAATTGAATGGATGATTTTCTAATTATTTTTAACGATATAATACTTACTAATATTCACACGGCAATCGTCAAAATAATTATTCAAATATAAATTGTAAAAGTATTATGTATATGATATTAGAAATTAGAAATTTATATTATATAATGAAATTAAAAATTTATATTATATACAAATTTATCTTTTAATTCAGAATTTATATTTTTAAAAATTTTAATAGAATATAATAAAAATCAATATATATATATATATATATATAGATATTAAATATATATAAGAATATGAATAAGAAGAATATGTATAAGATAAAATATATAAAATATATATATATATTATATATATATATAAAATATATAAAATATATATATAAGAATAAAATCTTTGTTAATTTCATATAAAATTAAAAAAGAAAATAAATAAAAAAAAATTGATTTTTGCATCTAAAAAAAGATATCGATTGCCATATAAGAGTTAACAATGAAATATTAGTATAATAAAAAATTAAAACAAGCGTTAAGTACCTATACCTGACGCGTTGTAATGCAAAAGTTCGTTTCTTTCCAGTGGGTGTCATCCCTTGTGCTACGTGTGAAGCTACGTGAGTCTCCATTTCGCATCTACTATTCGTGGTAAAATCACAGCCCGAGGACGGACAATTTTTCTTTTCTCCAGCTTCTGCGCTGAATACTGATGGATGACAATTAACAATGTGTTTTCGCAAAGCTGGCCTTGTTGGCGCAACCATGTCACAAGAACCGCAGGAATAACCACGATGTGCATTGCTAATGTTTGGACTACTACCTCGAGATCTGAAATCCAATAACAAATTTTAATTTCATTAAAATATTAATATATCAATTCAATATATAAAATAAGAATTTAAAAAAATTAATATATTTTTATATTACATTATACATTACATATTATATACGCATACATATATTTTAATATTTTATTTTGTGATTTTTACATAAAAAAATATATAATTAATGTAAAATGATTTTAAGATTTTTTCTAATTTGATTAAGTTTTCAAAATATTATTTTATATCTGGAATATAGGAAAAAATTTGACGATAACCAATATATTAAAAAATTGAAGAATAATAGAATAATATATATATTTAGAAAAATTAAGAAAATTAATTTAATTTTGAAATTTCGATAAAATCTTTTTGCTTAATTTTTTTTCTATTTTGAAATTCTCTTAATCACATTTATTTCAATCAAAAAAAAAAAAAAAAATATCACTAATACAAGTAAAAAGAAATGCATAAAATCAAAATCAAAAAATATCACAGAATTAAAAATCTTTTCCTTTCTTTTTCTATTTTTTAAATTTCGTAATCGTTATTCACGGATCGGTCATAACTCAACGCTGGTCAATATCCTTCAAAGCTGTTGATTTATGATGCCATTTATCTTTGAATTTTTGAAATATTAGAAACGCGCTCTCGTATTGTTGATCAAGAAAAAAGATTCGCTCTCTAACCGGACAGATTCATTGGTTCGTTTTATCGATTCCACGACATATTAAATAAAAAACTTGCACTTGAATATTTCTTTATCTCAATACACACGAATATACATAATATATATATATATATATATGCATATATAATATCATTTGAATTTCTTTTTAATTTTTTATCTGATCTGATCTAGTAAATATATAAAAAAATTGTAATTTTTCAATGCATTAAGGAAACCAAATTAAATATGTCATAATATTTTTAGCTTGAGAAAAATAATTGATAATTTTATCATAACACATACTTTTCGGTGTAAGACGAATGCTCGCTCTCAGAATCGCTGTCAGATGGAATGTTTGGAATTTCTGTTGCTTCGAGAGCTGCTGTCGCTGCTGAAAGTCTTTCAAGCATAGCGGTATAAGCGCCAAGGACCCAGCCATTCAGAACTGGTGTAACTGTTCCATCCTGTTACAAAAACATTTTCTCTTATTTTTGTCGTGTATTTCAGATTGCTTAATTACTTAATAAATTTAATAATGTAATAATTTATGTATAATTAATTAACATTGGATAAAATCGTTGATGATAGCTAAGAGTTTAAATTAACTAATAGTGATAGAAAAAATATTACACACAAAATTGTTTTATTTCGAAAAAATAATTTATTAATAATTTTTTTGTAGGTAGAAGATATGAAGATATGAATGGTAAAGAAGATATGAAGATATTAATTTATTTTTATTTAAAATATTTTTTAAAATATTTTTTAGATCTTTTTTTTTAATGAAAAATAAAATGTTTTAAGATATTATTTGAATATTTTTGTTTCTTGATTATTGATATATTAATTATTATGTATTATTATATAGAATTTTATATTATAGAATTTCTAAACAGAAAATTTAGAAATTATTTTTAGATTTTTATTTATGAAAACATATTGAAAATGAAAAAAAACAAATAAAATATTTAAAAAATAAAAAATTACATTACATATTACAAAAAACATATAAGAAAATAAATTTTTGAATAAATTTAAATGAAATTCATTATATAGTATATTCTTAAATATTTCAGAATATGAATTAATATTCAAGATCACCATTTTGTATATTTGTATTAATAATAACTATATAAATATGTGAATCGTCAAAATATTTGAATAATGTCTTGAAACAATTTATTTTTTATTTAAGTTGATTTTAAATAATTTTGAATAATTTTCATTATATTTGTTTTAAAATTCTTTATTAAAAGATAAGTAAAAAAAATCATATTATTCTATTAAAGAAAAAAGAAGTTAAGTTTGATATTTCATTTATAAAAAACTATTAATATTAGATTATATTTATCTTGAAATTTCAATTTTGATCTGATATATTTTTTTTAAAAAACAAATGAGTTATTCAAATCTATTTTAGATATTCTGATTTGAAAAAAAATTATAGAAATGGTACAATTAAGATAATATTTTAATAAAATTTATATTTTAATAAAATTTATATATTAAAATGATGAAAATAAATAAATAATAACACATAAAGTAAAAATAAAATGCCATGTAATATATATAATTAAAATAATTAAAAACAAAAATCTTTTTTTTTTTTGAAAGTGAAAAGTTTCAAAAATTGCAAGAATATATTTATTATTTTACTCTTATTTTAAATGAAATTATATATTTTTTTTTATTAATCGATATAAATATAAATTCAATGTCTCTGATATTAATTTAAATATGAAAAACTTGGAATTCATTTTAATACTAAATAATCAAAATGGATGATAGATTTTATATTTTTTGTTTTATAAATTTTTTTCTTTTAAAATAAAAATATAATTACATATATTTGTTTATTTTTATGACATCACTTTAATTATAATTATTTATATATAAGATAAATACTTAGATAGCTATTATAAGTCAATATTTCAATATTAATTCATATTTCATTTTAAATATATTATAGTAAATATCATTTAAATAATAAATAACAATAAATTTTTAAATAATAAATATTATTTAATTTGTCGGTTATGTTTAAAATATAAAATATAACTATGTTAACATTTTAAATATGTACCATAAACATCTTATTTAAGTTAAAGTTGTGATCACTGTGACTTCTCAATATCAATTGAGAGTTATAAATAATTTTAATTTTGATTCCTTAAATACATACGCAAGCACACACACACGTATAAAATAAATATATGTGTATATGTATTATAAATAATATAATATATAAGATATTATAATAATATAATATATAATATAATATATATAATATATAATATACATAATATAATATTATAATAATATAAATAATATAATATATATAAAATTAAACGAACCTTGTCAAATGTCAGATAAGCCATAGGATCGAGTAGTTTTGTCGGTAAATTATTGTTAGCTAAATGGTGTGAACTATTTGTACTTCCAGTATCGCTTTCCTCTCCAGCATCTTCATTGTCGTTATTTTCTTTCGGCACGGAAGTCTGCATAACAAAAAAAATTCATCACGATTATTACTTCTGAATGAAATCACAACTGAGTTTTGGATGAAAACTTTGTTTTTTTGATGAAAAGTTTTTTGATTTTATAAAAAATTTTAGATTTGATTATTTATTATATAATATAAAATGAATAAATATTTATTTTATATACAAGATATCATTGATCAGATATAAACGGCAAAGAGATGAATCTATATGAAAAAATAAAGTCGAAAAAAAGTTTTTGCCTTTAAAATTTCATTTCTGAATAAATTAGTGTTGAAGGCTTATTGAATTCATATACACTTGGCTATACTATAGATTAATTTTTGTTTCGTTTGTATATATAAACTTTATTAATATCATGGTTTGTTGTTATTTATATATCAAACTTCCAGTCATTTTGTCGATATGTCGACATACAGCAATAGAATATATTGATATGATATGTCAGCAACGCATCTATAGCCACTGATAAATCATGATTTACCCAGATAGAAGAGCTGATTCAAAGAGCTAAGCGAAAGAATACACTGGAAAACAGAAACATTGAAATGAAATGCTCCATTGATATAATGATCATTTTCCATCACTTAGAAGAAATGTAAAGAATCAAATATTATATTAAAGATGTAGATATTAATGTTGAACTTTAATTTGTTTTTCGATAATTTTTTAAAAAATTTAAATTATTGTAATAACTAACAATTTAGTTTTAATCTTCGTACATTTTTTTATTACATTTATTTAAAAAATAATATATCAAATAACATACAAATTTTTTTCATAACGAATTATTATTTTGAAAACTACATATTTTCTTTAAAAAATTTTAATATAATATAATATAAAAATTTTTTTTGAATAAAAATGATGAATATAAATATTAAAATAATATTTAATAGTAATAATATTATTAGTAATTATTATTCATATATATAATTCATATATAATTCATATTATTATTATTTATTTATATTTTATATTATATTTATTTATTTATATTATTTATTTATTATATATTATTTATTTATATTATTTATATATAATATAAATAAAATGAATTATTATTTATTTATATATATTATTATTTATATATATATATAATATATATTATTATTTATATAATAGATTATTATATTATTATAATATAAAAAATTATTTAAAAAAGTTATAGATATAATATTCATTTTCATTGATTTTCTATAATATTCATGAAAATGTACAAACAATGTTTTCATTGAGATAAACTCATGTTTACTTTTTTTCGAAAGAATAAAATTATTTAAAGAAACAGATATGTTTAAATAAAGTGATTCTATATAAATTATATATATAAATATACTTTCTCTAAATATCTTCATGATAATTTTAAAATTTTTATGGTGAATAAATGATTGATGAATGTCTATTTTAGAAACAAGTCATAAATATAATGAGAAATTAGACATTAATAATAAAAAATAATAGACATTATAATAATAATAAAAATAATAGACATTAATAATAAATATAAAGAATAATAAAAAAAATTTAAAAAAATTTATTTCATAAAAAAAATACATGAGATTTGATTATTAAATTAAAAATTATAATTATTAAATTATAAGTTATTTGATTTGATAGCTTGAGTGCATGATAATTCTAACTATTTATTATTTGTTTCACTATTTATTATTTATTATTTTTAGTTATTTAATTTAAAAAAAATATTATAATAATTTGTTATTAAAATTAATAAATTAAAAAATTAATATTTTCGTTTTGAGAAAAATTATAACAAAATAATAAAAATTATAATAACAATAAATAAGAAACTAATAATTTCACTAATGACGCACTAAAAATTAATATCAAATAAGAATCATCGAGAAATAAATATTTTAATATAATTAAGTATTTCATATAAAAAAAGATATTATTAATATTTATTTTTAACTTTTTTAAGTTCTTAATGAGAAACATTTATTTAGACTTAATGAAAAAAATAAGAATTAATTTAAATTAATTTAATTTAAAAGAAAGTATATAAATAATCTCATAAGCACAAATAACACTAATAACAATAATAATATAATAATTTTATGATTAAATCGTAATAAAATATTTTAAAGTTCTCTACTTATTTCCATATTTTTTCTATTTATCTTTATATCATATATAATATATGTATATCTATATAAATATACAATTCTTCAAAATTAATATGAAAAATGACATAAACAAAATATTAGAATTAAAATACTTGTTTACATTAATTCTTGTTTACATTAATTAAACTTTTAATTTTATAAATTAAAGTTTTGATCACGCTATTATTCTTCTTTTTCAATTAAAATTTTATATAATGTTTTAAAAATAAACATTATATAAAAGAAACATTATAGAATAAATGTAAGATGTATGTTAGATATAGAAATATGATATTCAAATATTCAATTAAATATGATCTTATATAGATAATTTTAAATATAATTTTAAATATATGTATCTCTGTATTTGAAATATTAAATACAATATTTGAGGCTTATAGGAAATTTCATTTTAGCCTATTACTAAATACTCAAACTTCTAATATTATTTTAAATATAAAAAAATTTCTATAGATAAATAAATAATACATAACTATATATTATATAATATATATTATATATACAATATATAGTTATGTTATATAGTTATAATGATATTGAAAAATTTGAAGAAAATTTATTAATTTAACGGAAATATCTAAAATCTTATAAAAGACTAAATAGGGCTGAAATATTTTTATTATTAAACAGAAAACTTGATATTATATAAATAATAGCGCATATATATTATTTTTATTGGGATATTCTAATTGTACATTATTATTTTTTTCTTTATTATGTATTTAAATTGTATATTATTTGTTATTATTATAAGTATAAATATTATATATGTTACTGATATTATGTTACTGATTATTAAGTAATTATTAAATAATTGATTTTATTATTAAAAAATAATTAAATAATCAATAAATAATAATTAAAAGAAGTAATTATAATAATTAATTCAAACTCAATTCATTCATTGATTAGGTTAATAATTAATTATAAGATGATTATAATTTTAATTATGATTAAATCAATAATTTATTTAATTTTTTAATAACAATATTATTTATAGTTTTTAAAAAATACATGTTTATTATTTATATAATTTTTGAACATAGGAAATTATTTGGTTATTTTAATATGTAAATATAATTTTCTTTTAACATTAACTATAAATTAATGTTCATTTTAAATATTTTGTCGAAGAAAAATTATGTGCTTTTCATATTTATATTTATTATTATTGTAGTATTTTTACGTGTAGAATATCAATAATTTCATATCTAATCAAGAATTTAACCACAGTTATATGTATAAAATTTTCATTCTAAAATATATTTATTCTAAAATATTTATTCTAAAATAAAAACTCAAATGAAGAAATTTTATTCTATATTTTCTATAATCTATATTCTATAATTTATTTTTTCATGTAGACTCTTTTTTATATCATTATCTGTAAAATATTCTATACACAACATTTTCTTTATATATTTCAATATGCATCATATATGATAAGTAATTAAAAATTATTGATCAATGATTAGAGATATTATACATCATTATAATGATTATTTAATTAATGATTATGATTATTACGACTATTTCCTTAGTGTAGTAATCAACTATAATAATGATTAAAATATAGTTGATTAAATCCAAGTCTACCATGAATACATGATCTTATTGAATTTATTTATATAAAAAATAAATCTTTCATCAAATTCAAACCTGATTATCATTTTCGTTGGCTCGTTCGATGTTTTCTTCGTTGTCATCTTGTTTTTCTTTTTTTCTCTCCTCGTTCTTCACATCCCGTTCACTATTCCGTTTTGTAACGAGTTCCATAGGTCCATATGGTAGCCCAACGGAAGTCAATGGTAATGACACCATATTTGGTCGATGGAAGCCATTCAAGGCGAATGCGGATCTCGGCAGTAACTGTGTTGCACTTGATGGTAGAATCGGATGCCTTCGGGTGAGACGCGGATCACCCCAAAGTTCACCCGCGGCGTAAAAACTCCAGATCCCATATTCCATCTGAAAGAGTGATTATTAACTGTAAAAATAATTTTATAGATTCGTATCTTTTGTTCGAATTATAATAAATAATTTAAAAAACATTAGATAAAACATTGATTCTTCAATATTTCAAATTCTGAAGTAACAAATTCTAAAACTTCAGCTGATAATATATTATAAATGGAAAGTTTAAAATAGAGAAACGTAATAAAAATAATGATATTCATTGTTTGCTTTTAACTACCGATTCCTCTTATACATGTAACACTTCGATTAGAATTGATTAAAGATAAATGACATTATATATATNTATATATATATATATATATATATATATATATATATATATATATAATGCTGAAATAAAATGATTTTTGAAATTAAAATATAAGAATGATGTCTCATGTGGAATCGTAAAATTATCTAAAAGAAAAATTAAAATTCTGGAAATTTTCAAGAAAATATCTATCTGTGAATATAAACAATGAAATAAAAAAACATTAAAATAAAAAATTTAAAAAATTGAATATAAAAAGATATAAATAAAAATAATAAATAAAAAATGAAAATAATTTAAACAATGATATTATAATTATTATATACATATTAATATGTTTTTCATATGAAATATATAAATAAAATAAATTAAAATATAAATAATAAAGATAATTTTCTCATAATGAGAAAAACTTTTTATCATGAACAAATCATGACAAAGTTAGGAACAAAATTCAGAGAAAATTTACAATAGATTTTCGTAATGAAATATTGAAATAAAATACGTGAAAACGCATACAATTTCAAAAACATTGTCAGTAAAATATATGAAAAATCAAAATTAAAGATAAAATTGCATTTATCTTTATATAGCGTAAAAATGAAAATATTTAAAAATAACGAATAAAAACAAAAATTGCCTTCAGTTGGTTTTTGGATTCACTTCTATGATTTCATTTATAATTAATTAAATAGAAATCAATTAAAATATAATTATTTATTTAGATTGTTTTTCTTTAATTTTTTTTTTTTACATTATAAAGAAAGAAGAAAATAAAATCAGAAATAAAAAACAAAAGAAACAAAAAAATGGATAAGTTCGAACGCAAAATTTCTTGAAACAGCTTGAAATATGCATTACTTAATTGCAATACATTTTTAAATAATAATATTAAATAATAATTTATTAAATAAATTTGATGATAATGATGAGTTCAGAACTCATTATTTACAAAAATTTGTATATACTATTTACTATTTATTATTATTGGAAAATTATTTATAGAAGCAATAAATATTTTAATAACCATTACCATTTAAAAATTTCCAAATGAACCAAAGAATTATTGATTATGTGTCAGTTCCTAAATCTATTCCCTTTCTCGTTGTTCATTTTGTCAAACAAAAAAGTATAAAAATAATGTAACAAATATTTTCCTTAATAAATTTATCGATCGTTTTTCATGTGTGGATACGAGAGAGATAATTTTATATATACAAATTATGTTCACTATCATTAAATGTAACGAAATATAAAGCATGTAATCATATGAATTATATTTTTAAAATCATAGAAAAAAAAAGAAAAAAAATAAGAACTTTTAATCAATAAAGATGAATTGGATTTAATTAAATAATGTGAAAAATATATTTTTCTTAAAAATGATTATTTGTTAAACAATTTATCAAATTTGTGTATATCAGATATTGTTTGACGAACAAAACGAACATAATAAAATGAGACAATATATTATTTATCATTACTATTTGTAATATTTTACATATTACTATTCACAAATCAAGTATATATAATAATATAAATAAATACTTATTCTATTAAGAAAAAACACTTTTCTAAGAAAAATATATTCATACGATTATAAAATTTATTGATAAAAATAGAAGAAAATAAATTAAAAATATTATTATTTATATTAATATTATATTATTTGAAATAATTTTGTATATATTTTGAATACTTTTGAATAATTAGAAAATATTTTATTTTTTCATGATAATTTAATGAAATGAATACGTTTAAATACCAAATAAAATAATAAAAATAGTACTAGCTATACTATACGAATCATTTAAAAATAGAAAAATTTGATAAATAAAGTTCAGAATTTTTAGAATTTCAAATATGTTGCAGAATAATATTAAAAAAAGAAATATAAAATTAAAAAAATATAAAAAATAGTATAAAAAAATGCAAATAAATTTAAATTCATAGATAAAATAATTAAAATTAAATTAAATAAAATTTAAATAAAAAGATATCAATCTATACACGTAAACGAAGTGAAAATTTTTAGTATTTATTTACTATTGAAAAACGTTATTGTTGGATCAATTCACGTCTACTTATTATTCGAAAGTAACAAATGATATAAGAAACAAATACATATTTTGTTTATAATTTTGCCAATGGGTTTCATATTTATGTAAAATAATCTAAAATAATCATTAATTATTAGTAGATTTATTAATAGATTATTAATAGATAATTATTAATAGAATTAATCATTTAGTAATATTATAATTGTGTTAAAAATCCTGAGTTAATTTCTTCATTTATATTCAATATATAAATGAAGATCAATTTCTTTATTTATGTTCAATATATTGCAAAAAAATTCATTCATCGAACATTTATCAATAATAATTTTATGTCAAAAAGATTCACTGCAAAATTTATATTAATTAGACATTTATGGTTTCTTTTGATGAATGCTATAAACCTTTAAATTTTTGAACCCTTTTTTCAGCATCTTTTTTTTAACATATTGCAATTTTTAGTACTGCAATTAGTATTGCGTCATTGAAATTAATATGACTTCCAAATAAGAGATCCAGATGTATTAATTATATATTATATGTATTAATTATATAATATAATCGGCCGAAATTGGATTTCAATTAAAGAATTCTTTGGAATTAATAAAATATATGCAATATGAAAATAAAAAGAATTGTAAGAATTCAAAACAAAGAATACTAGAAAATATTTTTGATAAAATTTTCATAAAATATTTATATATTAGAATTTTAAATCAATTTTATCGATTTCATTATTAACAAAGCTTATTGTCAATTATTATTATTATCATCTTCTTTTTTTTCTATAAATCTTTAGTTTCTTTCTTTTTTATATTTTTTATACATATATTATTTTTCTTTTCTATATATCATACAAATAAAAATCTAATATGCTTACTTCAAAAGACATATTAAATATATAAGATGTACAAAATTTACTAAATTTTATTAAATTTTCTTTTTTTAATTATGTAAAATATACAAATATATTAAACATTTTATTTTGTCCGAATTATAATTTTTATATACTATGCAATTTGGATAAATCAAATATCAAGCACAAAATTGACTTCAATTATTTTGAAAAAAATAGTCAAACTTGTTTTTTATAATTTTTTTATTTGAGTCTGAAATGAAAATTTAAAAAATACATTCTGAAGATTTATATTAATTATATACATATATGTTGTTTCATTGAAATCATTTGAATGGAAACAAACAATCGAAAGAAATTAAAATTTATTTTTTTATACAAATTTTTAAAATTTAGATCGAAAGAATTAAAAAATTACAATTTTCATCATTTTTTACTGTTTGCAGTTTATAGGAATGTAAATAGATTTTGATAAAATTTTCAGAATACATGTATAATTAATAGAAATTTATAAAATATATTAAAAAAATTTTATTAAAAGCATACATAAAAAAATTTTAAAAAAAAATCCTTACTATTCGTTTCATAAATCCAATCAATAGCAACTTTTTTAAAAATTTTTTACATCATCTAAATTTTCAAAATAATCCAATTTTAAAGAACTTACCTTTACCTATGTTTTTTACCAAAGAATACTTTGTGAAGTTATTGCATATCTACATCATAAGTTCGATTATATACAAATTAATTTTGATTTTAATTTGTATTATAACTATTTATAATTTGAAATATATATAATATTTGAAATATAGATAAAAATATATCATATAGTTATCACGCTAGCGATATTAATCATATTTATTAAAAAAAAAACTTATATATTGATAATTAATTATTGATATTAATAATTAATTAATTAACTTATTTCAAGAGAATGATAATTAATTGCAATATTGTAAATGTAATTAGAAATTCTGCATTCTCAGAAGATATAAATAACATATATACTGAATAAAAATCGTCATTCATTGTTGTTATTATCAATACTTTTTTAGATCAATATCGATATATTTACACAAAAAAAAAAAAAAGAAAAGAGAAGAAAAAATATACCTAGAAGTAGATGTATATGTAGATATATAATAGTATTATCTGTAAATCATGATATAAAATCAAAAAGAAATCAGGAATATTCTCAATATGAAATCAGGAAGATTCTATGGATCAAAATAGGATGAAAATATTACATAAATTTTTTTATTTACATATTATATTTACGCTTCGTTTTCAAATAAATTAAGTTTAAAAATTTTTCAAATACAAGAAATTAGCTAATTCTTAATTAAATACAAATAAACTATCAATAAACGATAAATATAATAAAAAAATGAAAAAATAAAATAAAATTTTATCGCTTAAGTTTTTATTTTTAAGAAAACTGGAATTGAATACATTATATATCAAAGAATTATATAATTGAATTTTTAAATTTCATTTTCTCATTTTCATAAATAAGCATTAACTGAAATTTTTGAAAATTAGTTTTTTAATAAAAAAAAATATAGGATATATTTTTTGTTTATTTTTTTTATTTAAAATAATTTTTCTATTAGTTTATTAATATGCTAAGAGAATTAGCCAGTTTCATTTGTATTTAAAAAATTTAAATTTAATTTATTTATAAAAACGAAATTTTCTAATTTCATTACGATATTAGAATTTCTAATTATTTCGAATTATAGATATAATTTTCTATCTCGATTTATAATATAAATTTCCGATTTCATCCTATATATTCATAAACTTTTTTCTCTTATATATATTTATATATATATAAATTTTTATACTATATATTATATATATATATATATATATAGTATAAAAAATGTTACTTTTATTTTTATATTGCAAATTACGAATAGTTTTTACAAATGTACTCTATTGTATTTAAATACATCTAAAAAATAAAAAAAATACATTTATTACATTAATATATATAAGTTATAATATATATATGTATATATGATTATATACATATATAATATAAGATTCTACGTTACACTAGAATCTTATATTATTATAAATTTTTTTGAATTTTTTTTTTACATATTCATAAACAATGAGTAAATTTTATAAAATTTTTTATTATAATAAATTAATATATATCATCAAACTATTTTGAAAATATCACAACAATCGTTTATAATTGAAGAAAAAAAGAATGATATATAAAAAATTAAAAATTAAAAATTACTTTTTGATTTCATAAAAATGTTTAAATTATTATAAAAAATTAAATAATAATGTTTGAAATGAAATCCATTTTTAATCTCATGTCATTTTTTTCTATTATAAATAATATTGATCGCTTTCAATTTATCAATCAGAATTTTACATTATCACTTTTTAAATATATAAAAATTTTCACAGTTTTCATAAATATAAAAATTTATAACTATATTGATTTCAATAACTATATTGTTTTCGATTTTATATCAAACTGTAGCTTTTGATTCAGAAATAATACATTTAAAATTGATGAATGTTGACATAAAATGCTATTGAGAATTGAATGTTTTTAGAAATATTTCTAAATTGTATTTTGATTAAAATTTAGATAATATGTACGTTACAAAAGATCAAATATAAATATATAATCATCCTTTCTTCTTACAGAATATATTATATTGGATACTATACTGGATACTATACGGGATATTAGATACATGTATACTGGATAGTAAAGTTTTTTTTTTATTAATTTCTAATCTTATTGAATTCAATAAAATAAAAATAAGTTTCAATATAAATTATGCAATAGATGTAACTGTATTGCTAATAATTAATTTCATTTAAATCGTTAGAAATTTTGTTATTAAAAAAATTTCAATAAATAAATAATATATATATAAAATATTAATATATTCGTAGAATATCTTTTCCTCTTTATTTTTTAAAAATCAAAATAAATACAGTAGTTAGCATATAAAAATTACTTAAGCTTATTTATTAAATTATAAAATAATTTAAATTCGAGTTAAATGAAGAAGGAAACAGAATGATATAATGGAGATAAAATGATCTTTTTGCCTTAATGGAAATTTTAATTGTTTATGATTAATAAATAAGCATTAACTGAAATTTTTGTTAATCAACTTTTTATATTTGTATTTGTTGTAACTTTTTATATTGTATTTTTTATATTTGTTTCAATTTCTAGAGTATATTATCCAAAAATGTTTCAATATAACAATAATATAAGTATATAATAAATATATTTATATATAATTAATATATATATTATTATATAATTATATATAAATTATATAATTGCATTTAAAAAATAAAAATTGGGTTTCATATAATTTGTGCATCAATATAAAAAAATTATGCATTTATAAAAAAAAACTATTAATATATTATATATTAATATATTAATTATACTTTATAATATATGTCAAAATATCAAACAATTTTTAATAAAATCATTTTTTTTATGTCATATAATATAATAATAATCATTTTTATTCTTCTTTTAAAAAAAAATATTTTATTACATTTCAATAAAATAAACACTGTGTGTGTGTGTGTGTGTGTGTGTGTGTGTGTGTGTGTGTGTGTGTGTGTGTGTGTGTGTGTGTGTGTGTACATATATATTATGAATATATCGATTTAATCTTATGAATTGATAAGTGAATTACAAAAATTACAAGATGTGTGTGTGTATGTGTGTGTGTGTGTATGTGTAAATATATGTTCGTTTATTATACTATACATATGTTAAAAAAATAAATAATAAAATAGTAGAAGATTGGCTTCATAATAGATATGATTTTATATAATTTATATATAAATTATATAAAATATAATTTCTATATAATTATATTATATAATTTCTATATAATATTATATATTATTTAGTAATATAATAATTTATAATAATAAGTAATATAAATTTATAATAACAAAGATCACTTTATTTATAAGATTTTTCATCTTTTCATTATTCTTCATCTTTTCATTATTCTATATTTATATCAGAATATAAAAGTTATTATATAATAGATAAGATTTTAATTAATCATAAATAACTATTGTAATTATATAATAACTATTTAAATATTAAATACTTTTATCTTAAATAATTTTTGTATATTCATATTAACGGTAAAAATCTATTTATATATATGCAACGAGCAAAGTTCGAAACGACTATACTGTCGAAGCACAAGTAGTATTTAAAAAAATTAACTATCATAACGTCTCGAATAACGCGATGCTTATATAAATTTTATGTATAATTTTTTTAGATTTGTTACTAATAAATTCTTCAATGAACTTATTCAATGCTCAACTCTGCATATTCAAGATAAACAAGTAAAATAATAACAAAATATTATCGATTTATGTTTTGACTGTTATTTCTTCAACTTGATTCATGCTCAATCTATCTATATATAAATGAAATCCATATAACGAGAAAATTATATATATATATAGTAATTGTCATGCTAAGTTTCATAATTTTATTGTAAACAAAAAAAAACTTAAAAATAAAGAAAAGAAATAGCATAATAGTAAAAGAAAAATAAATTTTCCAAAGGAATCATGCAGAACAATGAAAAATGTAGTGTTGTATTTATAGATTGTATACTAATTCATAATTCTGCCAAAAAAATTGATGAAAAAAGCAAAAAAAAAAAAAAAAGAAAAATCAAATTAAAGAAAACGCGGATATATTGGACATAAATAATGTAAAACGAAAAAAGAAACAGAAAATAAACATAATAAAAGATTTCTTCTTACGGAAACCCGTCCGGTAGCCTACTATAATTCAGGCCGATTATCATTACAGTAAATCATCTTCTAGTTATGCTTCACCCCGATTCTTATTATGATAACAAGAAGCACACAGCTGATCTTTGTAAGTTTCCGTCCAGTTGACCGGAAGTTATGCAGTACCATCGGTACACAAATAATGTGCACACGGATTCTCCCTCGCGAAACACGAATGGGGTACAGAGAAATACGTCCGGATACGTACTGCCACAGAACGAACTCGCGAGATTCCTGACCATTGGACCGACCCTCGTGCATGCATACTTTAGCATAACGTTCTCTATACAATATCCAGAAAGAGGGACGAGGAGAAATGAGAGAGAAAGAGAGTTGGAGTGGGATGAAGGGAGAGTCAAGAGATAGAGAGAGATATGTATAACCACCCTCTTTTCCTCTTCTGCCTCTCTTCTTCATCGTCCTACCTCTCGTTGACCCCTTCCTATTGCCCTCGCGAATCGATTTGTTATTGTTTTTGTGTCTGCGGTCGTCGCGGCAAGCGGAGCGAGCGGGGTTGTATATTGGTGGGTGGTAAACCCGGCAACCAACAGTGGGTGGTGGGGAGTATGGGTGCCAGTCGCACTCTCGCTGCTTCAAAGCGACGCTTTTCGGTCCGACAAAGAGGCGACCAGGAAGGGCGAATTGCACAGGGGTGGTTTGCTACCACCAGGTTGGACAGGAGGAAAGGGAAAGCCGCGTAAAAGAGCACTTTCAAAGCTCGAAAGAGAAGGACGAATAGATACACGTAGCTGACCAATGGTGTAAATCGAGTATTTGTGCCATTTTCTACTTCAATCAATTATTTTATATTATCTATTAAAAATATTATAATATTTCTTAATTTCAAAATAACTTGAAATAAATTGATACTTATATTTTCTTTCTTTAAGATTATTTTTATTTATTTATTATTTTTTATTATTATCTTATATTATTATTTTTTATTTTTATTTTCATTTTTTTAATATGTATTATATATATATATCATTTGTAAAAATATAATATTGTATCAAGTAATATTATTTATTCGAGTATACTATACTAATACTAATGAATGAAAATCATTTATCTTCTAGAGAAAGAAATTCTAAAGAGAAAAATTTTGCTGGCTACACCACTGGTTGGCTCTACCAACCGAAAAGAGTGAGAGAAAATGAGTAGTAAAGGATAGAAGCTGGCACAGTGATGAGAGCAAGAGGAGGAATGGAAAGGAGGAAGGTGGGTGGACACAAGAAACTACAGGGAGAGGGAGAAATCGCGAGGGTTAAGTAGAGAGGGGATTAGTTGCTGATACTCATGGAGCACAGGAAAGTAGAAGGGGGTAAGAGGGAAATGGATCGGATTGCGTGTCGGCACAAGTCTAGTTAGTATGAATGCAACGGAATGAAAGATAAGAGAGCAAGAGATAGAGATGCGGTTAGGAATGAAAGCATATATATAGGTGAAAAAAAGTAGCTGAGTATAAGAATTGCATCAGTAAACGAGAAAATTCGAGGTAAGATTCAAGAACTACGTTTGCTTGACAGGTGATAACCGATCGGACCACTGACGTCACAGATCACTCGCTTGGTCGTATGCTCACACGCACAAACGCGATTTACTGCAGCACACAAGCACATAGGAGAAAAAGAGAGAGAACGCGCGCGCGACGTGTCGTGCATCACGCCGTATTTTCCGTTTCGTGCACGCAGTACGTCATACGTATACGCCGCGAGAAAAAAAATACCGCGGACGAAAAGAAAAAACGAAAAAGAAAAATAAAGAGAGAGAAAAAAACAGAAGATAAATGAAAATAAATGGAAAATTAGAAAAAACAAAATAACATAAATATCATGAAACGGAATGAGAGAAAAGTAGAGGAAAAATAGAAAAAATTTTTCAGTGAAAGTAAGTAGTAAGTATTTACGATGCTAACCGGCCGATAGCCCCGCGCGACGCCTCTATCTGGTTACCATTACACTCGGATGTATGAAATGCGCCAGCAGCATACACCATCCCCCCACAATAGCCCTATTTATGATTGGGCAAAATTGCTTTCCATGCGCAGAATAAAATCGCGCGCGAGCGAGGAAAAATCCGCGGGGGGTTGGATGCATGCAGTTACGCAACTTGCACCTAACTACTTCTATCACAATATTTTCTGATTCTAAAACAAGAACGTTTTATACCTATTTCCAAATTGTTTTAATTAATCATTTATGATACAAGATTTTTATTCTTTTAATTTTCTTTACATCGATTCACAAAATTTGGTAAAAATTAAATATGGCGAAAGGTCGCAGTCATGCGTATATGGATCTCCACTTCCATTTTCCAAGTAACCAATCAGCAAATGCGAGCAGATTTCAAAGAAATTCCGTCAGCAGCGCTATTCTCGTTTAAGGAATGTATTATGTTTCAAGAAATTAAGATATTTTTTGTTACATTAAAAAAAATATTTAATTGTTTTTCTTTCTGTAGTATTCTACTATTTTCTTAAGCTTGATATATCAATATTATCAATATAACCAATATTATAATTAACATAGCAATGACAATGATTAGTAATTAAAATGTTATTAATTTTTAAAACATGGCGTTGCTTACTTCATCATATAAAAAAAAATTTTATTCAACAAACAAAATCAAGTTGATGCAAAAAATGTATAATTTTTTTATATTAAATAATATTAAGAATAATATTAAAATTTATTAAAATATTTTAACACAATTTTTATTGTAAATATATAATTATAATATTTACTAATTTCTTTTTAAAAATAGTAAATATAAGAAAGATATATATTAATTGTATAAAAATTATAATAAAAAAAATAAATCTTAAATACATTAAATATTTTAAACAAACTATATTATTACATATAATTTAATATTATATTATATATGTAATTATTGAGTATTATATATGATTTCATAATAGTAATTTTTTTATTGCATTAAGAAATAAGGGTTTTTGATACAAAACTTGCAAATTACAAAATTTTTTCTTAGCTCAATAAAAATAATAATTTGGTATTAATAGTTATATAATATATAATATATTTATATATTTTCAATATTAAGAATTTTAACTTTATTTTTCTATGATTTTTCTTATAAAAATATTTACAAATTCTTTAATGATTTATATTTTGATATGTTTAATTTTTTATTTAAATTAAATCTATAATAAATTTTAAACTTTGAATAAACTTTTAAAATCTTATTTGTATCTTTTTATTTCTTAGATGCTACAAGAAAAATGATATTATTACAACTAAATACATTTAAAGATTGTAAATAATGTATAATTGAAAAATAATGTAATAAATGATGTAATATCTTTTAACGCTTTAATATCTTCTTTTTCTATAATTAAAACAATTATTTACTATGTGTTTAATTATATAATAATTTAAAAAGTATTATATTTACTTATATATATTTTTATATATTATATATAATTTATTATATATCTTTCTTTATTTTTCAATTTAAATAATCTTCATTATATTCTTGTCTCTTAATTATTATAGTTAACTGACAAAAACAATTCTTCCTTTTCGTTTGTTTTTTTAAAATTATTTTTAATTTCATCTTTTGCAAATATTGATTATAAAAAAATTTTATCTCTATCTCTAAATTTAAATCGTATAATTGCTTAATATTTTTTAATAATTTTATTTTTGTAACAAATTAAAATAAAATTTTTGCTTTGTACAGCAAAATATCGCAGAATCATATTTATATTGAAAATCATATATATATATATATATCAATTATTTATTGTTATAATCATATTTATATGTTGTTGATCTATAAACAATTTATCTGCATAAATATTATGAATATTATTATTATGTTGTTATTTGCTATTTCTTTTTATTGCTTTTAGTATAATGCTACATATTCTAAAAATATATAAAATTGCATTATATGAAAATATATTGAATATTTTATTTTTACCTTTTAATTCGCTTTAATTTTGGCATCTCTAGATGATTTTTTTGCATTTTTATTCACAATTATCTTTATTTAATTAACTTGAAACTTTTAGATAATAAAATATAAATCATGACAACACTAATAATCTTTTATATTCACAAAAATTTTTTTAATTTATAATTCTATAATTTTATATAATTTTTATGATTTAAGAATCTTTAAATAAAAACATATTAAATAACATAAAAAAAAACAACAGAGTTACAGAATTGATTTGAAACGAATTATTCTTTGAGGTTAATAGCGCCCTCTCTGAATGCTAGACTTTATTGTAAATGGAATTCAGATTAAGTTGGACCTTAAAATTTTTAAATCTTTATACAAACGCGAATGTGCAATTCAATAATTTATAGAAGTTTACATTTTAAGTATAAAATATAAAAAGACAATTATCAAGATCAATATTGAGATGAGTATTTACTAAAATCCAATTTAATAGTAAAACATTGCTTTATCATTGTAAACTAAAGTTATATATAAAAAAATAAAAATATAAAATTCATTCCAGTCTTTAATAAAATAGATAATGTACACATTCATATCACTGGCATAAAGATGATATATTTATAGATATAGCTTTAGATAATTGCTTTGATGTAAAGATAAAATCATCTATAATGTCACTTAAAGTAATATAAAATAATAAAAGTTTTCGAAATAATATATACGAAATACAATTTAATCATTATTAAATTTGAAATAAATATTTTATTTTATTTTATTATTTCTATAATTATTTATTTATTTTAGTTTAATTATTTAATTTAATTTAAAAAAGATAATATATAGATTCTGAAATAAAAATATTTATTTTAACTATTAATTGCAAAATAAAATAGTTTCTTATGTACAATTAAAAGATAAAAATATATAAATTGTATTTCTAATATAATTATATATTTTTGATATAAATAAAATAATAATAAAAGTTCAAAATAAATGTAAAACATTTCAGTTCAAAAGAATAAATTTTGTACTTAGATTATTTTTGTCGTTCTTTACAATTTTTTGTATAAAATATTTATTATTCATTATTATTCATAATTATTTAATTCTATAAGTGACGTCATATTTTCTTCGTTATTTTTGCTTCAATTTGACTCGTGAATTTTTACAGATCATGTCTATGAATATATATAAAAAAGATAATATTATATAAATTTTAATAATTCATAACAATTCATTAAATAGACTTTTTAGTAATACTAATAACTTAAAAATTTTACTAAATTTATTTACAACGTACTATGAATAAGGTATATTATATAAGGTTAATAATAAATATACTTTTATATTTTATTTGCATATATAAACTTTTTGTCTAATAATAACTTTTAATCATAATTTTAATCTTTTAGTTAATAAAAATCGTTTATATTTTATAATATTTTTAAAATTAATTTCATCATAGATATTATGCATTTCGATATTTACTATTTATTGATTACTTACTATTTTTTTATAGAATTTTATATTAGAATAATATTACTATATTATATATATAGAAATATTAAAAAACTTTTATAAAAATATAAAATAAATATTTTTTAAAATATTTTTTCAGAATAAGAAAAGAGAAATTCCATTAATAATAAAAAATACATTAGATCTTGATATTAGATTAACCAAAGTTTTTGCAGAATGTATAGAAGATTTAAAACCTATGAGAAAATTAAAAGCATATTACAAGATATTAGAGGTATGTTCATATTTTACAGTTAGATACAATTAATATATAAAAAATATAAAATCAATTTTTTTTGTATATATACATAAAAAT